TTTTTTTACTTCTTTTTCAAACCCTTCAGCATAATGATACCAGGATAATATTTCAGCTTGGTTTGCATGTTTTGCACATTCTTTATTACGATTTGCTTTATTATATAGTAAAATCAAACCTGATGTTATATCATTTTTCTCAACAACACTTGTTGTGTCATCTTCACTACTACTAATAACTTCGGATATATCATCAATAGGAGTTTTTAATTGCTTAAAAATTCCTTTAAAATTTTTATATTTTCTTATTACAGATGAAACGGACGAAGTAGATGCTACTGATACGATAGATTCAGTATATGTAGATTCGTTATATATAGATTCAGTATATGTAGGTTCAACATACATAGATTCAGTATAAGTAGGTTCTGTAGATGTAGGTTCAGTAAAGGATGATATAACAGATACTACAGGTGTAAAAGGTATCATGGATGTAGCGGATACTAAAGATGTAGTAGAAGTAGATACTAGAAACGTAGTAAATGCTAAAGGTATAGTAGACGCTGTAGATATAAATACGGCAGATGTTATAGGTATAGTGGGTGTAGTAGGTGTTGTAGATACTATAGGCATAATAGACGGTATAGGCGTCGTAAGTGTATTAGGTGTAAATGCCATAGGCATCGTGAACGTAGTAGGTATTATCGTGGTAGTATCAGAGTTTTTGTCATTATCTATATTCATTAAATTTTCAACTTCATTATCCGTATTTATTAAATTTTCAACTTCATTATCTGTATTTATTAAATTTTTAACGGTCTTGTTTTTAGTACCTGCCTCATTTCGACAATTAGGACAAAAAAGTTTTAAATCAACAACCCAATAGCTTATACATTTTTTGTGAAAAAAATGCCGACATGATAAAATTGTAATTGATTCTTGAAGAGTTGAACTAATTATATCTTAACAAACTGTGCAAGTATCCTTTTCTTCTAAATTAACATATTCAGGAATTTCCTCAGACATATTCTGAAAAATAACTTTATACATAAAGTTTTTTAATGTTTCTATTTTTATATAATAACACTTATTACAATGTTTGTTTTCTGTTGCTATTGTTTGAAAGAGCCGTTATAAAAATATAGTCCAATTTTGGGTGCTCTCAAACATCTCACTTAGTATAATTAGCAGATCATGCATAAGTACTACGATTAATTAAAGTAAACCTTATAGTAATTTTGTCAAGAATTCATGTTGCGAAACGTGGATATGAAATTTTGGCTAATCAGCACAACTTTATGATAAAAAAAGATGGTCGCTAACTATCTTTTTTTTCATCGTGATAATGAACTTGCTTGATCTAATAATTTATTTTCCAATAATTAAAAATTGAACTCAGACTTGTTAATTTAGATGCTTGAGAGCACTCTTAGCCCACTTAAATGGATTAGATTACAATTAAGCAACAATTAATTTATGAGACACGGGTAATTAAGAGTAACAACGAAAATCAAAAGTAATAAAGCAGTATCGATATATAATGTAAGCAGTTTTAAAAATTTCACAACACTTTGGAATTTGTTTTTAATATCTTTATATTCAAGATATTGAAGCCTTATTAATGCAAAAATAAACTAACAACAACTTAAATATTATCATACATGAATCAAAAGTTGAGATTAAATTTTGATTACTAAATCTAGATTAAAAAGCCCATAGTATAATCCAGAATTTTAGGGTGCTCTCAAGCATCTCACTCAGTGTAATTAGCTAGCTATAGAGATCGTGCATATGTACTATGATTAATTAAAGTAAACCTTATGATAATTTTGTCAAAAATTCACATTGCGAAACGCGGATATGAAATTTTGACCAATCAGCACAACTCTATGATAAAAAAAGATGGTCTCTGACTATCTTTTTTTTTATCGCGATAATGAACTCGCTTAACCTAATAATTTATTTTCCAATAATTAAAAATTGAACTCAGACTTGTTGATTTAGATGCTTGAGAGCACCCTTAGCTCACTTAAATGGATCAGATTACAATTAAGCAACAATTAATTTATGAGACATGGGTAATTAAGAGTAACAACGAAAATCAAAAATAATAAAGCAGTATCGATATATAATGTAAGCAGTTTTAAAAATTTTACAACACTTGGGAATTTGTTTTTAATATCTTTATATTCAAGACATCGAAGCTCTATTAATGCAAAAATAAACTAACAACAACTTAAATATTATTATATATGAATTAAAAGTTGAGATCAAATTTTGATTACTAAATCTAGATTAAAAAGCCCATAGTATAATCCAGAGTTTTAGGGTGCTCTTAAATATCTCTTTCAGTGTAATTAGCTAACTATAGAGATCGTGCACAAGAACTATGATTAATTAAAGTAAACCTTATGGTAATTTTGTCGAGAATTCACATTGCGAAACGTGGATATGAAATTTTGGCCAATCAGCACAACTCTGATAAAAAAAGATGGTCTCTAACTATCTTTTTTTTTATCGCAATAATGAACTCGCTTGACCAAATAATTTATTTTTCACTAATTAAAAATTTATTAATTTAGATGCTTAAGAGCACCCTTAATCAACTCAAAATCATGCAGCATTTGCGATGTCCAGATTATCTAATAAAGGACACTAGAGACCCAAAATTATGCATATTGAAAAGCGTTGTAATGATTTTAAATAATGCAATATTTGTGCTGTGCATATTTCGTATTGTTATAAATTTGATTTATCATTGTATAATAAATTTAAGAT